CCTCTACCCTTCCAAGCATGATGTACTCCAGTAACCAGTCCATCCTGGCCACATGACCAAAATATGTGAGACACAGCTTCAAAATCCTAGCCTCCAAAGTGTATCTTGGTTTCACCCTCTCCAAGACAGACCCATTTGTTAATAGTTTGTGTTTTTTTTTTTTAAAAAAATTTAAATGGTATTATCTTTTCCTGTAATGAAATACACAAAATATTTACTTCAGAAAGAATAAATGATCTATAAAAGCGAATGCTTTATGCTGTGGGGTCTCTTAGACAATTCAAAATGGGGACGGTATTTCTACAGAATGTGGCAAAATGAAATCTATATAACAAAAATCTTAATATGCATACTGTTTGGACTTGAAATACCCCTTCTCAAAATTTCCATAGAGAAATAATTATAGATAATATGTGAACAAAAATGACACTTGCAGTATTACTTCTAATAGTGAAAATTGGGGGGGGAACCCCTTACATGTTAAAACATAGGGGATTGATTAACTTATTGCATATCCATAAAATGATTTATCAGTCAGGATTTTTAGAAGAATATTTATGGCTTGTATGATTTATAATACATTGTAACATAAGAAGAAAGCGTTCTTGTGCCCCATCAAAATCAGCCACAACAAAATGCTTTTCAATTCAGGACACAGTCCTAAATTCTGACTTTTTTACTTATGAATTAAAGTGGAGAATAAACACATCCTCCCCCCTGTCATGCCCACAGACTCTGCTCAGGCCTGAAATAAGAGGGAAACCTGACCAAGCCTGTTCTAACCCTTGACAATCTTTTATCAGGTCTCTCAGGCTGCAAATTTAAATGGCAGGAGATTGCCTCATCCTTCTTCCACATTAGCAGCTAGTGGGTTCAGTCTGCCAATATTTTGATTTGTAGCACAATAACCACTAAGTCCACTGTTGTTACGTACTTTCGAGTCAGAATTGACCCAAACCTGACCCTCCAGCAGGTTTTCAGAGGCAGTTAATCACATGAGAGGAGACTGCCCCACTTTATCCTACCAAGCAGCTTGTAGATACAGTGCAGCTGGTGAATGTGAACTGCATGCCTTTGGTACTGCAGCCCAACTTCTTACCACTAGGCCACCAGAAGTAACAACTAATAGGCAGACCAGTAACAGGCACTAGAATTACATCTGGGACAATAAGAACAGTAGAGTTTAGGAAAAAAACTGATGAGTTATTAGGGACGAAGATGAGGGCAGAGTCCAGGGTATTTCTACTTTTTTGTGTGTGTTGATTTCTCAGAGCCTATGAGAAAGAAATGGCAGGTTTTTCAGCAAAGATGATAAATTGTCACATTAACATGAATTGGGAATCTTAAGTAGAACTTTCCAAATGACACTTGAAAATTTGTTTTCAAGAATTTAGATTCCCCTAATGGCCAATTAGTATGTAAAGTAGATTGCTTTCCAGGAGAATCTTGCTTCATGCTATACAAGAAATAAATTAATGTCATTCATGTCAGACTTCGATAAGGATACAAGGTCCTCTGAGAAATCTTGAGCACCAGGAATCTGAGTTCCAGAAGGTTACAGTTGTTTCTTCTAATCATCAAATGTAACAAGAATACAGGGTAATAAACCATGTACAAAGTTGGTAAACAATTCTGTATTAATTCTAGTGCCAATTCAATTAGTTTCTAAAATAAACAAAAAGAATATACACAAACAGCATCTTAAAATACCTCTAGAGTTACAATAACAGCTTCTAAATACTTTATTAATAAGTTGTAGTGGAAGTTGTTTAATTGCCTGGAAAAGTAAACAGAAGAGAAAAAGACACAGTGACTAAAACAGAGGTTTGTGGATGGCAGAGATCACGAGAACAACGCAGGGTAGGCCAAGGTTCCAGTCTGATTCCGGGGTTGCTGTGAGTTGTGATTGACTTGATTCCACTTAACAACTTGAAGTGATTTAATAGTCAGTGGAAAGAAAAACCACTGACAGCCAGATTTTAAACACATGGTTTGAAAACCAAGCACAAATAAAATGATGGTTGTATAATGCAAAAGATAAATAAAAAAAAAGGAAGAAAGGTGAAGAATTTTTAAAAAAGGAGGGTGAGCAGAAAGGTCAAAAGAAATAACGACTAAAATAAATGCAAAGGAATTAATAAAACTTTTCAAAATGCAAAGGGAAACTCAGATTTTTTTTTCATGAAAATGATAAAAATAAGCAAACCCAACTCATGACATATGTACAAAATGAAAAATTTCTGATGACAAAGGAGCACCGAGACAGAAGAGAGAACTGAAAATCACAATAAGAATATAGTCTTGCTGAGTCTGTCATTTTATTCTTCAAAAACCACTCTATCACTAAAGTATAGCCACAACACTGTAGAATAGAACATATTAATAGTGTACGTGAAAAAAATGAAACAAAAACCATACAACTTTCTTTGGGTGATGAGATGATAATTTTCTCCCTCCACTTTTCTTTTGTTTTTTTGTACTTTATCTAAATATTTTACACGAAGATGTATCACTTTCCTAGTGGAAAGAAAAAAACTTTATTAATAATGCAACACTGGATCACATTTCACAATACCGTTTAATACAGCACAATTCAAATCTGCTGTCTGCTGATTCAGGAACTGAGCAGATGACATGTTTCTTCCTGAACAATATGTCATACAAACTTTCCCCATGAGGAAGAATGGTTATCTTACACACATCTCTCAGCCTCTATTTACAATCTGTCCATCTGCTCAAGGAGCCCTGCATGGCCTTTGTTTTCCCTGGGAAACAAGCTGCTGCTCCTGCTTGCTCTTCTTCCTCCCCCGCTGGGTCTTGCTGGACAGGGTCTTGGATCCCTCTGGCTCAGGAAGCCGGAGAGCAGACTGCAGGGATCTGTAACTGAGCGCCTTCAGCCTAGACACCCACAGCCCCCTCTGCTCTCTCGCACATGCGTTCCAGAATCCGGTGGATGCTGGTGAAGCTGGGTCTGTCTGAAGGCAGCCTGCTCCAACACAGGCGCATCAGATTGTACAGTTCCAGGGGACAATTCTCTGGGCAGGAGAGGATGTTGCCGTCTCTCACATAGTAAATGACCTCTTCGTGGGCCATCCCATAGTAGGGCTGCAGGCCGTAGGAGAAGATCTCCCACAGGACCACCCCGTAGGCCCACACGTCAGACTCGGTGGTGTAACGGTTGTAGAAAATCGACTCGGGTGGCATCCAGCGGATAGGGATGGCATCGTTTTCATTAGCCTTGTAGTAATCGGCCGAGTAGATGTTCCTGGAGAGGCCAAAGTCTGCAATTTTCACCACCATGTTCTCACCCACCAGGCAGTTCCTGGTGGCTAAATCTCGGTGGACAAATTTGCGCTCTGATAGATAAGCCATGCCAGCGGCCACCTGCCTGGCGATGCCGAGCTGCTCGGCACAGGAGAGGGGCGGGGGTCCAGGGCTGGAGACCTGCACCCGGGACAAGTCCCCGTGGCTGAGGGTGCACACGGTGTGTGGGGACATGCTGCGGAGGAACTCGTTGAGGTCGCCATAGGCCATGTATTCGAAGAGGAGACACATGGGCTTGCCCACAGCACACACACCTGCAATCAAAACAACGCCACTGTTAGGATGGCCCACTAGACAATCCGAGCCTAACCAGTTACCTGTGGGAGGTAATTCTGACTCGTGCTGACCCCTTCTGTGCCAATGTAGAGGTGCGCTACAGAGGATTTGCAGTGGCTGGATTTTTTGAAAACAAAATGAAACACCAACTTCTCAGCTAGCAGCAGCCAAACGTGTTAGCTCTTTGCATGATTACCATCTTTTGAGTTGTGCAAACATACTTATTCTGAGTTTTTCTCATTTACATAAACTCACTTCTCTCTGAATTTCTTATCAAATTGCTATTGTTTCACCCCAGATAGAATTGTTCATAAAAGAGTCCAATGTTCAAGGCAGATCTTTTTTACTAGCTAAGCTAATACATCAATTTGGCTTTAAGATGACTTCAGGGATGTTTTTGGTTTATGGTTGAAAGATTATCCCTGGGTAATAGTTTCAGGGATAGGTTCAGTCTCCATGGCTCCAGAAAGACTGGGGTCTGGAGAATTTGAAAGTCTATTTATCTTTTAATCATTTCACTTAATTATTACCTTTCTTAAAACATCTTAGCTCCAGATCTTTCCAGCATAAGGTTTCCCTTTTATTATCCTTTACTGTATTACTTATTTATCTTTTAATCACCAATTTATAGATTTCTATCCAGTATTTTAACACTTTAAAATTACATATTATGTCTTCTATTTCTTTAAATATCCTCCACCTACCAAGTGCCTTGTAGAGAAGATTCCAAATAAATGTTTGGTGAATGAATCTTTGAATGGATATCTGCGTTAAGAATGTAATGTTACATGTAATGTCTGCATTTTGGCTTACTTCTCTGAAGAATAATAACTAGGATGCCATATGAAGATTAGAAAGGATAGCCAAAAAATGAAACCCCTAAGATTCTAACATGAAATATTTAGTATGTCACAGTAAAATATTTTGAAATCCAAGTTTTATTATACTCACTTTTAAATATAAAAAGTCTATATAAATAGACTCTTAGATTTCATTCAAGAATGACATTTGCAGATCTTAAAGTTTTGCGATGTTTGAGAGATAGATGGGAGAATTTGCAACATATAAACCAAATGGCATGATTTCACAACACAGTAAAATAGATAACTAGGTCTATTACATTGTGGGCAATTAGGAGAAAAGTCAAGTCTTCATTCAAAAAGAGAAAAATAAGGAATCATGTTCTACTGAATAATTGTTTGCGGAATTAGTGTTTCGTTACAGAGCCTTTAGCAATTCAGCATGTTTACAAGTACTGGAGACAAATCAAAGAAATTACACACATTTCTTTGAAGGGGAAAATAACTTTTTGAACTGAAGTTACTTAGTAAAATACTAGACTTCCTGAGATGAAAACTTTGCAGAAAAGTCTTACCTTGTAATGAATATAAACAAATGCAGTGTGTTACATATATAATCCATGAACAATATGTAATTATTGTTGTGTTTATAAATATCTTATTTCAGAGTTTAAGTACTTTACATATTGCAGTAATGAAGTTGAGAAAGCAGCAAAACAATAAGATAATTCCTTGAAGATTAAATACTTAAGAAATTTCTGGGAGAAGGTTTGATGTTTTCTAATAGCCATCTATCCCTCCCTCCCTTCATCCATCCAATAAATATTGAAATCCTCTAATGAGCCATATGTAGTGTAAGACTTGTTGAGACTTTAAAGAAGAAAAACTTCTGGAAGGAGGTGTATACTTTATCGACCTTTGTAACGGCAAGTCTTATACTGCACTTGGTTCATGACAGTATCTCAGTATATATAATAGACACACTGAGGGAGGAAGGGAGGGATGGATGGATATAAGAAAGCTTCAAACTTCAAGAAATATCCTAAGTATTTCATCTTAAAGTATTAGCTTGTTGTTCTGCTGTTTTCTCAATTGATGGAACAGTGCGTATGAGTCTACAATATTTCATGTCTCTTCCTTTTCTAATATTATTCCAATTTCTATATATATATGCCTACTTTTGTGATTATAAAACCACTACTTCAATACCAATGGAATGAATTTCTAAAATAGAATGCATTTAAGAATTTTTCAATTATTTCATCCCCTTTCATCATTTAAAAAGTTGCTTAATACATTCCAAAAAACTATGAAAGTACTGGAATCATGTCTGAAAAGGTTACTGCTATACTTATCTGAATCAAAATGTTTTGAAATCCTTTGTTTCTAGGACATTGAAATGGATTTTAGATATAGCTATAACAAGTGGTCATATAAATTTGAGTTCTTTTAGGCCAATAAAAATGAGAGAAAACCCTTAGGTGATATAGAAACTTGCATCATCCTGTTGTTGATTGCTGTCAAGTTGAGCACAACTCACAGTGACCCTATTAACAAATGGTCGGAAGCCTTTCTACAACTGTTGTCATTTATCAAAGTTCATAGAGTTTGCACAGGCATTTTGTTTAGGAAGTGGATGCCAGGAAAACTCTTAGTTGATATAGAAACATGCATCATAATAGACATTATAATTGTACAGATTATACAGTTTATGTTCAGTTTAATCTCAGACATTTATACTATTATATAATTGCAAAAATCTATACATGGATTCAGATTCAAGACTTTAAGAAACAATAAAAATGATTCCTCAGTAGGAAAATATTTCAGTCTGGTACTCACTGCAGATCACTGTCAAAGACTTTCTTGATCTCTTTCGCCTAGTGGCTTTGAGCTCTGGTGGCCTAGTGGCTTTTTCTCTCATTGTCATCCAGTTGGAATTAATTCATAATTGACCCTCTAGGGAGTTTTCTGAATCTGTAAATGTCATAGAAGAAGCTTGCCCTTCTTTCTCCCTCTAGACAGCTCTTGGATTTGAACTACTGCCTCTCTGGGTTGGCAGCTCAACTCCTTATTGATAAGATCACCAGTGCTCAGTAGCATGTATTTTCCATGCTTAATAGATTTGAAGGAGCATCTCAAAACTAGTAAAATCACATAAGAAGATGCTCACTGTCACTAGATATTATGGAGAGACATAAAAAAGACAGTGAGATATTATTTCACCCATATCAGAAAGACAACAATTTTTTTAAAAGAAAAGAAAACAGATGGTGGCAAAATTGTGGAGGTACAGAAACTCTTGCATTGATGTTTGTTGTTGTTAAGTACCATCTAGTCAGAACTGACCCATAGTTGACACTCCAGTGGGTTTTCAGAGGCTGTTAATCGCAAGGGAAGAGATTTTCCATCCTTTTCCTGTGGAGCAGCTGGATTTGAATTGCCTGCCTGTTGGGATTGCAGTGCAATATAGCTGCTAAGAATGCAAAATGTTACAACTTCTGGAGGAAATAAAGGAATTCTGGTGGCCTAGTGGCAAGAAGCTGCACTGCAATCCTGAAAGCATGGGGTTTGAGTCCACCAGCTGCTTTGCAGGAGAAGGATGGCAATCTCCTCTCATGCAATTAACTGCCTCTGAAAACCCACTGAAGGGTCAGCTGTGAGTTGATTCCAATTCAATGGTATACAACAACAACAACAACAACAGTGGGAGAAACAGTTTGATAGTTCCTTAAAAAGTTGAACATAAAACATAATTTATGAACAATTTGGTAGGTTGAGGGAGTGTGTGAAAAATAAAACAAAACCAAACCCAATGTACATGAATAAAACACAATTTTAAAAAACCAAGCACAATATAATTCAGCAACCCCAATCCTAGAAGTAGAAATACAAACATAAACATGTATATCAATATTTACTAAAAGACTTTTCACAGTAGCTAAATGATGGAAACAACCAAATTGTCTATCAAATATAAAAGTACAAACAAAATATGGTAAAAATGCATTATAGAATATTATGCAGTATAAAGAGGAGAGAAATAAAGTCCTAATGCATATACATTAATGAACCCAGCAAACATCACACAGAATGAAAAAAGTCATTTAAGGACAAATACTACCTGATCTTATTTATATCAAATAAGCAAATGTATAGAGACCAAAGATAATTAGTGGTTAACGTGGTGGAAGAGTAAAGGGGAAAAGAATTATGCTTAGGGGGAATTACGTTTATGTTAATGGTGGTAGGATATTTTGAGAAAGGATAATGAGAATAATGTACAACTTTAAAAATGTAATCAATGTCACTAAATTGTGAATGTAGAAATTTTTGAAATAGTGTGTGTTTTGCTATGCATATTTTCACTATAATTTTTTAAAAATATGAGAGGGGAGTTTCAGTCTTCCTCTGAAAAGGGAGGGGGTGGAAAAGATAAAAACTGTAGTGATAAGATTCAAAAAAGGATTATTTATTAAGCACTATTATATAGAGGATGGGTGGGAGAAGGGGGGTGTGATGACGTTGGTGAAGGAACCAAGACTCTGGTTGACCAGAGTCATCACTATGATCTGCACTATGTTCCAGAAGCAAAGGAGAAATATAAATAAACAGATCAGTTCAGAAGTGCAGAGGAGGATAAATTTTAGAAAGCCTGTTTTCTGATAAAATAAACACCTTCTCTTATATTTGCATACCTAAGAGTTTCACGATGTTTGGGTTATCAAATTCCGCCATGAGGGCTGCTTCCCTTTGAAAGTCAGCCTGCATATCTGCTGAGGCTTCTTCTTTGAGCATCTTCACAGCCACCATTGTGTAAGGCTCATAGGGAAGAAGGCCTGGAGCCCTGAAACACAAATGCATTCACAAAGAAAGCAGTCAAAGATTAGGAACATTCTGCAAGCTCACCTTTCTAAAAATCATCCACGCATGCAGCCTTTCTCAGAACCATAGATTCAAAACAGGGTACCAACAGTAGCATCCAAGTAATAAAAATCATTGGGATTCTTTTCAACATAGATTATTACTATTTTCAACACTGATTAAAGTTAATTTAATGCCTTGAAGGTAGGTATGTAATTTATTCATCATTACAATAAAGCCTAAAATCACATCTGGCTTATGTCTGATTCTTAGTAAAAAAAAATGTGAGCTTCCTTTTTAAAGTAAACTTTATAGGAAGAATATTACAGTAGGAAGTAGAAGAGAAGTAAATTTGAAAATAAGAGCAAAACATTATTGTTAAAAATGCACAACTTAAATTTCTACTAATTGCTTATTAATTATAAAAATGAAGATACATTTACATTTCTTAGAAATTCTTTTACAGACATGCATTAAAAGATATACTCTCTAATATACAAACCTGCTTTCCAGAAAAGGGAAAATTTTAAAGATTATACAATACAGTTAATTGTGTAAAGTAATTAATTTGGAACAACTGTCATATATTAATTTTAAATAACTACACATTATTGAACTGATATCTTTTTAGACACAATGGAGATTTTTTTACATAGATAATTTTACCTTGCTTGAAAGACTCTTCCAAATGCTCCCTCCCCAATATCTCTCACATATTCAATGTTATTCCTTGGATACTCCAGGCTGAGCAATTTGGGATTCAGAAGAAGTGGCATCCTCTGGTACATGGGGTTGGGATGAAGTCTGTCTAGCAAGAGCTCAGAAGGAAGAGTAGTGAGGGTTACAGCTGCTGATTCTCTGCAGTAAAGATTAATAATGAGCTCAAGGTCAGATTAAAAATTCAATTTAGATTCCAAGAGATTTGTAGTTGCCTTTGAGTCAACTACAACTCATAGTGGCCTTGAAAACAATAGATAAAAATCTTGTCCTAGTCTGTGCCATTTAAGCATCATTTAGAAAGGAATAAAAAAAAAAGTTGTACTAAGCCAATCAAAGGTTCTGCACTTTTAGAGAAATAAGATATTTTGCTTGTTTTAAAGTTAAAGGTGTATTTTCTCGAGAATTTATCACTATTAGTACACTTTGACAATAGTAGTGGGAGTTATTAGGGAAAGAGGAAGGAGGAATAGCTTTTTTAAAAAAAAATTGTTTTGATTTCTCCTTTTAAAAATTATTGTTAAGATTTTACCTATTTTAAACTAAGATATATGACTCTATTTAAAAAAAATCACAGATATTTTGAAAGATATGAGATGACGGCTTAATTTTAAGGCAGGGCAATGATTGGCATTTAAGAGACTGACAATATTATATACATTCCTCCTTCCACAAGCAATTCCATTATTTGGTATGTAGGCCTAAAATTATGGCTATATGTGATAAGTCTATATTAGGATCATACCTTTTCTTATTTTGCCATTGTTTTCGTCTTCGGCAGCAATAAAGAATACTTATGGCAAGAAGTACAAATATTGCAAAGCTGGACATGATGGAAATTATTACAGTCATGGAGTAAGTGGGCGAGACAGAGGAGGACGAGGAGGAAGAAGGCAAATTTGGAATGTCCACACTCGGCTTTGAGGACGTCATTGATGGGAATGCTGTAAGAAAACAATGATCATTTTTTTCCTCATTTATTTCCAAATCTTTAAGAAATAATTTTTGCATATAAGTAACCTATAAATGAAATTTCATTTTTAAGACTACAAGTTTATCTATCAGGTTCTCCTGGGTTATATATCTTTAAAGTCCTATGATAAGAATCCAAAGAGGCCAAGTTGTGAGTGAGTAAAGCTGATGGGATCATTGACTTCTAAAGATCAGACTCAGAGAGAGGAAGTTTTATTGTTTTAATTTTGTATGGTCTTTTTTCAAGACAAGTGCAGATAATGGGCCATGATGCTTTATGCTGCATCCTATAATTTATAACCTTACAAAGAAATAGAAATTACATAATTTATCAAATAAAATATATTGTGGACTGATACTGCAGGCCAGGCCAGGTTAGAATTGAGCTTTCTTAAATATTAATATTTAATATTTCATAAATATTTTTATTTACAAGCAGAATAAAAATAATGGTGATAAAAATATATTAGAACACAAATCAACAGAAGTTAGTTCATCTATAAACTGATATCCTGTCAAACACCAGTTAAGATGGTCAATGCAATATAAAACCAAGGTAAAGCCTTCTTCACTGTTGGAAACCAAAGATGTCATACTCATTCTGTGGTAAGGTGCAAAGTCCATTGTATACCTATAAAAATAACCCGATGCAGTTAAATGTCTGAAAGCCAATGTGTTTCTGCATTAGGCAGAAACTTGTCTGAGAAAAGGAAACACAATCATTTTCCACTAAAACAAGTTTGTTTTGTTTTGTTTTTTTAAAAAAGGATTATGAACTCAGGCAAAGGTAGAAAGCTTTTAAGACCTAATAAGAAGTCCTATTGCATTCAGGCTTTCCCAAGTTTCACTATATTGTGTTTTTAAACCTTCTTGCTAGACTGAGTAAAGACAAAATATACATATCAAATATTTAATAATATAATTGACAACAGTGCTTCAATAGGTAAAAATGAACTCCACAGCATAATAGGAAAGGGTAAATATTCTTTTCAAATACTCATGGACTACTGACAGATACAATTATCTATCAGGCCACAAGATAATTCTCACAAATTTAAAGGGCAGAAATGATCCAGATAGATTCTTAAATAAAAATATAATTCACAATAGATTAAATAAGACTCAGTAGGACTTTAAAAAATGAGAGATAATCTGATTATTTTGATCAAAGAATAAAAATTAACTCCAGTTATAGATTAGAAAGTAACTTTAAGATACTGTATGTGAAAATTGGTCAAACTATGTACAAGGATAAACTCAAAGTCGTTTCTGACCCATGGCGACCCTCCATTGGCTTTCGGAGCTGTAAATCTCAATGGGAAGAGACTGCTCATCTTTCCCCCTAAGAGCGCTGGTGACTGCAAGCTGATAGAGAAGCAGTGGTTTGGTTAACAGTGTAATTTTCTACATACTAAGCCTGCAAAGAGTCATTCACAAAAGGACAAACGTTACATTATCCCAAATTATAAAAAGTTTCTAGAAAGGCTTAACCATAGAAAGAAACTTTCTGTGATTTTTACCAGGATTGGGAGGGAAAGGAGAGGGCAGGAAAATTGGTAATTAGGCAATATACCCATATTAGACGTGATGAAAGGAAAGGCAGGAAACAATAATAGGGAGAATCACAATATCACTAAAGAAAGAGAAGAGACAGAGGTTTACAAGAGTTACAGACAACAAAGGCAAACTCTATTACGTACACAAACATGTATGTATAACAATCTATGAACAACTAGATAGAGACAAGACATGGGCAGAGATGGAAAGGTGTATGAGACTACACATTGGGGGAAAATAAGGTCATATATGATTATTGTTTTTGTTGTGCACTGTCAAATCAGAACCAACCCATAGCTGACCTTCCCATGGGTTTTCCGTTACAGTAAATCACATGGGAGGAGACTGTTCATCCTTCTGCCATGGAGTAGCTGGTGAACCATATGCCTTTAGAATTGCAGTGCAGTTTCTTACCACTAGGCCACCAGATTATGCAGATATTTTTTGGATCATAAATAAAATGACAGGGACATATTAATTACCAAATTTGAAAAATTCAAAAGCCCAAATGTAGCCATAAACAAAAAAATAATTTTAAAAATTATTATAAAATTGTGAGTACATTCTTTCAATAAAAAAGATTAAATCTCTATTATTAGGGCTTATTTCCATGAAATAAAACACAAACACCAACTCTTCTTGGCATTATTATAATGTTAATATTACAATCTGACAAAGTTAGAGCAAAATAAAACTGCATATACACATCATAAAACATATATTTAAAAATTTTGAAAGTAAATACTAGGAAATTGGCTATCATTACAAAGCAAGAGAATAATGATTTAACATGAAAATTTATTAATATATACATCATATCCAAGTAAAAAGAAAAAGAACTCACAAAAACAAAAAAAAGTAAAAAGAAAATTTTTATCTCAGCAGGTGCCTAAAGCCATATGACTTTAAAAAGCAGAGATTACATTGGCACACCTGTGTTTGATTTCTTAGTCCAGAAGTGGACACAGGGATTTTTGCCAATGGCTAAGCAAGTAGTAGTTTTAAAAATCTGTGGAGGTCAAGCTTGGTTACCACTGAGACTAAAGCAAACACCTGGAACAAAATAACATGAGCACAACAGCAAAATCATGCATGACCACTGACAGTATTTAACAAGTGTCAATGAAGAATCAGGTTCCCAAATACCCTCTTGTGACTGGTGAAAAATCTGGGCCAGTTATCTTTGAACTAAAGTTTGAAACAAATTTCTTAATCAAATCTAAGGTGAATGGTGAGGGCTAGTTAAATTGAAGAGCTGAAAATACTGTAATAATAATGTAGCAGTGATTACTAAAAGACAAGTCGCTCTCATTCTTATTATTGACTCAGGTGACCCTCCAATAGATTTTTCAGACTGTAAATTGTATGAGAGGAGACTTCCCATCTTTTTCCCACAGGGAAGCTGGTGGGTTGACAGCATAACTTTTAATGCACTAGATCACGAGAGCTCCCTAAAAGCTCCACCAAATTGACTAGTTTTGTGTCTGGATTTTATAGTGCAGTGTTATACCTAAGTCATATGTTAGGGAATATAATACAATTTCTAAAATAAGAGATCTAATATCATTAATAAAGAGGTAATTTTCCTGAGAAATATCAGAAAGTTAGAATATAATGATGGGTTAAAAGAATAATCCATACGACTAAGTGGAATTTATTTCAAAATACAAAGATTGGCAACTTCTGAATAATAATTTTGTTATATGGCTTTAAATGTGTCTTCCTTTCAGGATAGTTTTGTTTCTTCTCAGCTATTACTTTCCACATATTTATACTTACTTTCTAGAGTTCTATCCATCTCTCTTTGGATATCCTCTTTCCTTTTTATCTTTTCTCTCATAAATTTTCTCTTTATCCTTTTCCTCTGAACCTCAAGGGAGTTTTAGTCATTCATCCATTCATCCTCATAGTAATGTACTCATTAAAGTCAACTGATGATGGTGGTGTTGGTGGTTGTTAGACGTTTTCAAGTCAACCAGGAGCCAGTACCATCTTGTGATCAAGAGATCTGAACCTTGCTCTATTCTGTGCTGTACTCACCATCTCTGATATACTCAAGCTCATTGTTTAAACCATTTTGCCAATCTATCTTGTTGAACGTTGTCCTCTCTTCATCTGGCTCTCCATCTTTGCCAGCATGATCTTCTCCCGAGGACTGGTCGCTCCTAACAATGTGCTCCAAGTTTGTAATTCAGTTTCACCATCCTTGTCTCTAAGGAACATCTCCTGGTTGCACTTCTTCCAAAAGACTTGTTTATTATTTTGGCAGTCAAATGGATACTCTGTACTCTTCCTCAACACTATAGATCAAAGACATTGATTCTACTTCTGTCATCCTTCTTTATTAACTTCCAGTTACAAAGGAGGCAGTTGATAATACCATGGCTTGGATCGAGTATATCTTTGTCTTTAAATTGGCTTAAATGCTCTTTAGTACTTTATACAAGGAACTCTATAGTAACATGACACATCTGCAATTAAGTAGTTAACTGAGAAGCAAACTTGTTATTTTGTGCTGTTGAGACAGAACCAACTTATAGCTGATCCTCCAGAGGGTTTTCAGAGGCAGTAAATGGCACAGGAGGAGATTGCCCATCTTTCTACCTTGGAAGCTAGTGGATTGGCAGCTGATGGATTGGAACTGTATATCTTTGGGATTGCAGTGTATATTCTTATGATTAGACCACTAGAGCTTCCTAAAAGCAAACTAGTAAACATAATTTTTATGAACTAGAAGTGTTATTAGAGTGATCGGAGCAGGCAATTTTGAATAGACAGGGGCAACACAATCTCCATTTTTAGGCACATTGGGTAAGTTTTCTAGACTAAATATTTGTAAGTTTAATATAAAACTTGTATAGTCAATAACCAGATGAAGGTATGATTACATTTAACTTAGGGAATATACTCTTGATCATATGTTCTGGGATGTGTTCTCAGGTAAAATGATCAGTTTGTGATACTTGGAGTTTATCTTGTTATCTGTACCAAAGACTTCATAAGTATTTTAAAAGATTAAAACACTAGTTTATTTGTGTTGCTAAAAATACTTTAGAACTAATGTAAAAGACTCAAACACAATGTTTTTTTTAAAAAGAATTTACTACTGTCTAGAATAAACCCTCAATAGTATGCTTTCAATGAATGTTTGAATTGATGAGTGAGTAAATGAAGGATAAAAAAGACCATAATCCCCAATTAAAGGTCCAATTGAAATGAATTTTGACTGTTTATATCACAAAAAACAACAAAAACAAACCCCATTTCTTTTTTCATTCCTTCAATTTGGGAAAAATTTGAGAATATTCAGAAAGACATTTAGTATTTTCCATAACTGGTCTTCATTATATCAAATGACTCAATTGGAACCAATAACATTCTTTCTTTTAGTACTTTAAGTCTTAGTCCTTGAAGTAAGCTGGTAAAATCAAGTCTTCTCAAATATTCAGGGCACTTAGCCAAGCGCAGAGGAGATTAGCTTTGGAATATGTGTCTCAGGAAGTGAATATGACTTGGGCCTTAGAACACTCAACATAGAGGAAGTTAACTGACATGAAAGACCTTTTCTAATTTTACTCTGAAGATTTCTGCCTTCTGGTAGTTTCAAGTGCCATTTCACAAATGTCAAATGCTAGGACACTCTTCTTGAATTAATTCCTCGAGACGTTAAATGACCTTTGAAAAATCATTTGACTTGACACTATCAATTTTATACTGGAAATTAGCTATGTTCAAAAACTATCTTCTAAAATGGATGTTAGTTGTTCAACTTGAAAACTGTGGATGGCTCAATGAAGAAATAAAAATTTGTTTCTGGTCTATAAATAATTAGATACTATAAAAATAATGAATGCAAAAATCAAAAGATGACGTTTAAAGTTTGCCCTATTTCAATAGACACATAAGAGTTGACATGGATGGATAACCTTGAGGTGGGAAATAGTTTAACATCATCCACCACATATGATGCCTTCTATGGCCTAAACACAAGCTATAAGCTACAAGCTGAGACATCCAACTATCCTCCTTCATGGTTTGCCTGGGACAGTGGGAGGCCTGGCTGAAGGCGAACATTCTGTTCTGGACATCATGAAGTATGAGTGTAAATATGCATGCATGACTCCAATTACAAACACATAAGGCTCCAATGGCACAAACAAAATTACTTACTTGTTAGGTTTTCTTTTCTATAATCTGAGGGGGAAAGGATAAAGATTTGTTTTAAATACGCATTCAGATATGGTATATATTTTGTGAGAGTGCTAAGAATGTAAGTTCTCTTTCAGCTTTAGTATACAACTGGAAAACATTCTTTGCATTCAAATATGAAAGGGTTGCTGCTTGGAAATTAAACCAGCTGTTAGGGATAACAACACAGTTCCTTACGAGCAAAATTTATTAAAGCAACATGCAGTGATTGTATTTTGCTTGAGGAGGTCAGCATTTTCAAACATGTGGCTTATTTTTTCATGCTTAAAAATCTACTTCATTGTCTAAGCAAGAGGACTGTATTCCTTCAGTTCACTCCTATGACAAAATAGGTGATATTCTTAGCCATTTTACTACACATTCCAGAAAAATGTTATAAACACTCATAAATCCCCTTTTAGACAAGGTAAAATCTTAAGCAGCAGTTAAAAGTGCTTTTTAATTTATTTTAGAACGAGTGAAATAGAATCCTTGTGCTAACCAGTTTAATTAGGATAGCATAAAGATTCTGCTGTTAGATGACTAAGGAAGGCAGAACTCAAACTAAAGAACCAGAAATGCTTAGAAATGTTAGCATTGGAGCTTTAAGTCTACACTTTAGTGTCTTCTAAATGGTAAATTTTTAACCTCTAAAGTCTTGGGGAAATTCCTTTGTTACCTAAATATGGCAGTCTGGTACAGGACTTGGGGTCCCAGTGCATGCTGGGAAGCGTACTGCATTCTGGCACAGAAAGCATCTGCATCCCAGATCTGTAGAGGCCTCTGTGGGTCTTTTCTTCTATCGCCAGCCATTCTTTTGCACAGAAGAGCTCTTTTACTGCCAGGCAATACTCTCTAGAATTTAAAAGGAGAATAAACTTGATGAATCATCTTAAAATGAAATGCAGTGGGTGGAGCTTAAATTTTGTATTTTCAAAACATTATTGTACTTAATTGTTCTACTAGGCCACATGGGGTGCTAGGAGTTACACGGTCACTATATAGGGGACCTCACATCATAATCAAATGTCATGTCCTTAGTTGCCATCATGGTGATCCCTGTGTTAGATAGGGTTTTCTTAGCAGAAAATGGAAACAAGAACCTTAAATTGTCAGCTATAATTAAAACGTCTTTTTTCCTTCGTGACTTTTTCTTATATTCTACTTTATACAGAATATTTTACTTGTGTGAGTGTTGTCATCATAGAACCACAATGACTGCCACCTAAAAAAACTATAAAAATATATTTCTAACCTATTTAGAACTAGTTTCAACCAGGAGTCCATAATGTTGAGCTTATTCCAGCATAGAACTAGATTAACACCTGAATGTAACTACACAATCATTATGATAATTTGAGTGTTTATTATAAAATATATTAGTAGTAATAATAAAGACAGTGAGGATCAGGTAGAATCTGTCTTCACATCCTTTTAAAGTGTGTTTACATATATTTATATATACATACATACAGCAAAGAATAACTTAAGAAGAAAGTAAAGAAAAGAATTATAATCACATCTGAAAGACATAGGGTTGAAGAATCAACAGGGGAAAAAAACATTGGAACATCTCAAACTGAAAGAAAGTTCAAACCCAATTTTGAATTACTGAAGAATTCTATATGCAGAATATTGAACAATGCAGGAAGCATCAAAAGAAGAGAAAAGGAAAACACTTAGTCATTGTACCAAAAAGAACTGGTTGACATTCAACTATTTCAGAGGAGAATATATGCTCAAAAATTGATTATATTAAAACTTCAGGTATAATGAAATAATTATTATTATAATGACAACAACAAAAAGAATTGATGATATTTTTTTCCCTTTTTTTTCTATAATTATATTTTATTAATTTTCATAAACATTTACAGAGATTTTGGGCTTCCACTCATTCATTGTTGCACTATTCTCTCTACCCTCCTCCCAGTTTGTTCTTGTCCAAATGCCACAGTGCTTGTCAAAGCCAGTTCTGATTAATCTTCTTTGTCAGTGTATCCTTTGCCATTCCCTATCACTCCTCCCTGAGAGAGACTTCACCCTGAGTCATAAGGAAAAGGGGACGGCGTATTCTCTTAGCTACTTCCTGCTGAAAAGGGACGCTGTGGGTTTCAGGGTGAAGATCTTCTCTCACTACTCTAAAGGGCCCCTTTGGCAGTAGGAAACACATAGACTATTATGGAGATTGATTTTGGAATTTAGATGCACTCTTATTGATTGTGCTTGGCTGTACATGTACATATCCTTGAAGATGTATCATGAGGGTGTTGCAACCTAGAAGACACAAATTTGACTAACAAGTTATAAGTACATGAGTCCAAAAATTATGGAAAAGTAAAAGAAAAGATTCTTTCATTGTTTTACAAACCCTCCCCCAGGTCCCCTCCACCATGCAGCCCTCGCTCTAGTCTCCTGTGATGACAGAAATACCCAGTTACATCTCTCTTTTAAACGGTTCTCTCCCTCCTCTGTTTCAGTGCAGTATACATTATTGAACCCATCTTACTCAGTCTCTCCCCAACCCCAAGGACAGTCCCATTCTACAACAGTGGCATCATGTAATATTTGTCCTTTTGTGACTGGGATATTCCACTCAGCATAATGTTCTCCAGAGTCAACCATTTTGAATAATATTGCATGAGTTCCTTGTTTTTTAATGCAGCATAGTATTCCATTGTGCGAATATACCACAGCTTCTCTAGCCATTCGTTTGTTGATGGGCACTTAGGTTGTTTCCAACTCCTTGCTATTGTGAACAAAGCTGCAATAAACATGGGTGTGCATATATCTGCTTGGATGTCAGCTATGGTCTCTTCAGGGTACATTCTGTGGAGAAACTGGAACCCTGATTCACTGTTGGTGGGAGTGTAAAATGGTGCAACCCCTGTGGAAAGCAGTATGGCGCTTTCTCAAAAAGTTGCAAATAGAGATACCATTTGACCCAGCAATTCCACTACTGAGAATTGATGATATTGAAGAAAGAGATTTAGGCTGCCCTGATGGCATTGGTGAAATGCAAGGCTCCAGGACTTGATGGCACCCCAATTAGCACACTACAACAACCAGATGTGACACTGTGAGCACACATTTATTTTTGCTAAGAAATTTAGTAAATAGCTACCTTGAATAATCAACTGGTGGAGATCTGTATCTGTGCCCATTCCAAAGAGAGATGGTCCAAGAAGATGTAAAAATTATCAAACAAAATCAATACTGTTACATGAAAGTGAAAGTTTATTGGAGGTAATTAAAAAACAGCTGCGGCTATCTATCAATAGAGAACAGCCTGCCATTCAAGCCACATTCAGAAGAGGAGGTCAAATGAAGAATATTATGGTTGACATCAGATGAATCTTAGCTGAAAGCATAGAAAATCAGAAAGATATTTACCTGTGGCTTATTGACCATTCAAAGGCATTCAACCATATGGATCATAATAAATTATAAATAACAGGGAAGAAAGGAAATGCCTAATCACTTAATTGTGCTCATAAAAGCTGTACACAGACCAAGAGACAGTCTTTAAAATAAAAAAGGGACTATTATGTGGTTTAAAATCAGTTAAGGTAGATATCAAGGTTTTATCCTTCCACCATACCTGTTCGATCTGTATACTGAGCAAATGCACTAAGAAATCAAACTATATGAAGAACAACAAAGCATCATAATTGGGGGAAAAGTATTAAAAATTTTCAACATGCACATGACACAACATTACTTCCTGAAGGGGAAGAGGACTAGAAGCATTTATGGATGAAGATCAAAGGCAATAACCTTCTGTATGTGTTGTACCTCAATATGAATAAAACAAAAGTCCTTAAAACTGGACCTATAAGCAATATGATAAACAAAGAAAAGACTGAAGTTGTCAAGGAATTCTTGGATCCAAATTCAATTCCCATGAAAAAGGCAAGAGACCTAATGGAAATGTATTCTAACCTTTTGAGTAAACTAGTATAAAATAAAAATTTAATTTAAAAAAAGAAACCTAATGATATATTGCATCTCAGTATCAAGAAAACAAAAATCCTCACCATTGGGCCAATAGGAGCCCGCTGGAGAGTCAGCTATTGGTCAGTTCTGATTCTATGGTGCACACTGGACTGATAGGTAACATCATGATGGACAGAGAAAGGACTGAGACTACTTCATTTTAACTTGCATCCGCAATCAATACACTTCGTCCTAGCAGTTAGGGGATCAGGAGACGTATTGCACTGGGAAAGTCTGTAGTCAGGGACCTCTTCAAATTATTGAGGAGTATTAGGGAAGAGTTAATTATGCCATGCACTGTCAAAAGAACAAACAGATATGTCTTGGAGAATGTGTAGCCAGAGTGCTCCTCGGAGGGACAGATGATGAAGATTCAGCTCACGTACTTTGAGCATGTTGCTAGGAAAGGTTATTCTTTGGAGAGGGACATCATGCTTGGGAAGGTAGAGGGGCAGCAAAAGAGAGGAAGAACTTTTGACCAGAATTAACAGAGTAAATGCAGGAATGTGCTTATGTTTATTAGAGATTCTGAGGATGGCACAGGATAGGATTCAGGTCTGTTGCTCACAGGGTCTCTAGCAGTTGTACTTGACTCAACAATAATTTAGTATCTTCCATTTTAGACAAAAGGGAGCTGTTGCCTTTACTACTGCACATGACTGCTTCTTTTGAAAACATTACTTGCTTGCAGACAAACATAGATTTAATTTATTCATTTGAGTATTTCTTTTACCTGCAGATGGGCTTGGGAGTAGGTACTGCTCCAGGGTTACAGTCTTGGAAGACATGGTTACACAGCAGAGCCTCAGCAGCTGGCCTGCAGAGTGGACTCACTGCTTTCAGTTCAGTCCAGCCTGTGTGAACCAAGAGCTCTTGTGCTTCCTCAGGGTCAGCATAGGAAGTGTTGAAGAAAACAAGAGCATCTGTGGCTAGGACGGTGCTGCACACTTCTCCTCTGTACTGGGCACAGTAACCTTTGTTATCTTTCTGTGGTTTGCTGAAAGAAGCAATGAACAACATTCCCAATCACATGCTATTTCTTGGCTCTCAGTCTGCTATCCCCATGCCCCTCACCCACAGTTTTCACATCTGCATCACAGAAACAGAAGAGAATGATACTAGTTAATTGGTGAGGAAGCTACATCTGAATTTTGTCTTCATATCCAGCTGCAATTATAATTATCTCTAGTTCCACAAGAGAGCTACTATGAAAACCAAAATATGATAATAGATGTGAAAAACTTTGTAAACTATCAAAGACTGGATAGATTTGGATATGTTTATAATTTATGTTAGAAATGAAATGTAATTGCTCTTATTTAAGCCACCCCCCTCCTTTCTTGCAAATAAGCTGACAGAGCAGTAAATAGAACTAAATGCATATTCATCCTGACATGACAAATGATGGGGCATGATAATAGTTACCCTGCCCCTAAAAGCTCTCAGCTTTATAAAGAGCTAGTTTATTGACATGCTGCAACAGTTAAGTACCTGACTTTTGTAGAACAATAAACATTCTTATATTCAAAATCATTAATTCTCATACTTATCCCCACATTCCATTAAATAAAGCCATGTTGGGAGGAGAAGACATAGGCTCCCAGAGAAGCTAAGAAGCATCTTTAATTGTTCTGTGGTGTCATCACATGCTCTTGGGAAAGTCATTTAGACACATAGAGCTCTAATGTTCTAATCTCTAAAGTGATACAAATATACCTACTTCATTTCCTAAACAACATGCCTCTGGAAACTCTATGAACTTTGATAAATGACTCTAGTTATAGAAAGGGTTCAGGCCTCTTATTCATAGGGTCACTATGAGTTGTGTTTGACCCAATGGCAATCATCAACAGCTACTCTTAATTTAGGGAGCTCTGGTGGCCTAGTGGCAAGACGCTGTGCTACAATCCCGAACCCATGCAGTTCAAGGCTACCATCAGCTCCATGGGAAAAGGATAAGCAATCTACTCCCATATGATTAACTGCCTCTGAAAACGTACTTGGAGGGTCAGCTACTACAGGTCAGTTCCAACTCTATGGTACACATCAACAACAACAACAACTCACTGAGGAAGCTCTGGTGGGTTAGATGTATGAGACTGTGCTGCCAATACAAAAGTACATGCTTTAAATCTACCTGCTGCTCAGCAGGAGAAAAATGGGGCAGCTTCCATATAATTAACTACCTCAGAAAACCTGCTGGAGGGTTAACTATCAGATGATTCCAACTCAGAGATACTTAGCAACAACAATACAACTTATTTATCAACAATCTCATCCAACATTTTACATTTGTGACAATATCTATTTTGTACTTTAGCTATATCAACTGGTAGTAATGGGCTTTGAAGTGTGATTCAAGAGTTACATTGGCTGTGATGATAAGTTGTTGTGTGAACTTGACTGGGCTGTGATTCCTGGTGGCTTGGCAGTAAAGCAATGATGTTGTCCTCCTCTGTTTTGCAATGTAATATGTTTATCCTTCAGTTTCACATAATGACCTGATCTTTGAAACCTAGCCATATTAAGAAGAGAGAAGTGGGTGTAATTATTTTTAATTTAGAAAATAAAATGCTAATAGTGTAATGTTAGTGGGAGAATTGTGAATTCAGTCTATTATGAGTAGTGATGCTAAACTAAAGGGCTTGCTTCCTAGGTGATTCAAATCCATCAGCAACTCTGGCTCTGTGGCCATGAGTTTGAATTGTTTGAGCAAAAGAGCAATATTTTAGCTTACAGGATAAAACTAGAGAGGACAAAGAAAGACTGGAAAAAGGTGCTGATCGTCCCTTATCATATCTTCCAGTACTTACTCATTCTAGTACTTACTCATTTGTTCTTTAATGGAATGCTGAAGTTGTAATTCTATTTTTTACCCTTATCTGATTATATTTGTTGAGCATTTATTATAGGTAGGCACTGTGAGGGGACTTGAATACATTTTTATGCCTTATATCAGACCTAGATCTTTCACCATGTTGGAAAGCTCTCATCAAGGCACATTTTTATTTAGATTTGTATGAGGCAATGATGAGAAAATACTCAGAAATAGCCTATGATCCAGCCTCTTAGGGAACCCAGTTTATGATGATAGTACAAAAGTTAGAAGGAACCCTGGTGATGCAATGATTAAGCACTTGGTTAGTAATTGAAAAGCTGATGGTTTGAACTCACCCAGCGGTTCCTCAAGATAAAGACCTAATGATCTAGTTCCATAAGGATTACAGCCTAGAGACCCTATGGGATAGCTGTACTCAATCACACAGGGTCACTATGAATGCAAATGTGACTTAATGGATCTTAACAATAAGGAATGTTAGAAAATAAGAATAATGCATTTTTTATAAAACCAAATAATAATTACAACTAAGAAATAATAGCTCATCCTGGTTTACAAAATAGTCTCACATGTTGATTACATTTTTCAATAAAAAAGACAACACAAATTAGAACAGATGTATCTTATTTCACTTAAGAAAAAACATGCAATATGTAAAAGTAAATTGCTCTTGCCAGTATCTCTGAGAGGGCAATTATTTATCCAGGCTCTGCTGTCACATGTTAGATATTAAATGGCTTTCTTTGTCACTGTTTTACATAAGTATTTTTAAAGATAAAAAATGTGACTTTTTCTTTAATTATGTAAGAAAAAAACACATTAAAAAGTGAAACAAAAATGTGAACAAAAATAGCCTTTTTATAATGAATAGAAACAAGTAACAATCAATTCTTCTCTCCAGAATTTTTACCCTGCTTCTCCTAATAAAATCCCTAGAAAATGTTGAAAACAACTTCAGTATTAAGTATATTGTATCTTCATCTTTTCTGAGCATGAACTAGATAATTATAACAGAAAATCCTCGAAGTTTAGTAGAATACTATTTCAAAAGAAATGAGACTAATCTTTAATTTGAAATAGTTTCATTTTGGTTCTAATTTAATTCTAATCTTAAGAGCAGTGGCCTGTGAAAACTTCCATGAGATCTAGATTTTTAACCATGTTAAAATGGCTAGGAAGAGTCATGGCACCAGGAGAAAGCTGTACAACCATGCGATATACCATTTCTGAAAACTCACTGGAAGGTCAGCTATGAGTTGGCTCCAATTCTATGGCACATAAAAACCATTTATATATAATTTTTGTAATAACTAATGAAGGTTATTATTCTATTATTAACTACTTGGGGATGCTCCCCGGGGAATGGAGGAGCTGGCATTGGGAGCACATCTGTACTCAACAACCAAAAAACAAAACCAGACTGCTTGATCAGTTTGAGTGATTGTACAATTATTCCCTTTCCCACATTTTCTCTCCTTTTCTGGAGAGACTTGTAAACTCAAATTTTACTCTGAGATCAAATTTTAGAAGCAAGGCGTGGAAGTAGATGGCCATTTTGTTTCTCAATCTCCTAAACCTATCACTTAAAAAGAAAAAATTCTCAGCAAGAACTAGTGAATGATATGAATGCAAGGAATTTCCAGAATCTCTTGCTGTCTTCTGCAAAATGATGAGACTCATCTGTATCAAAAAGTGGTGTTTCTCCAAGAGCAATTCCTGGACTGCCGATGTAGCAACACTTAGAGTAGGGGGTTGTGTTGTTCATTCCAGCAGTCAGACTGAGGTCACAGGGATCAATTCACAACACATTGGCGAGTTTGAAATGATCTGCGAGACTCTCTTCTAAAAATGCTAGCAAACCCTGGAGACAGAGCTGGTCCGTCCCTCCCTTCCTGGCAAACAGAGCTTAGCTGATCTTCCTTTTGTAAAGTTTATCTTTGTGGAGACTACAGTGAATATTTGATTGGTTTGTTTTGGGGGTTTTTTCCTAACAGAAAACTCTCCCTGGTAAAACAGAACACTGAAAGGATTGCAATGCACATTCTTTTTACTCTACACCTTTTACTCTTCCTTCCTCTGTTTTAAAATATATCAATCACTTTCAGTTATTGTGTGCCTGTCGAGTTGGAACTGAAGTTGACCCTCTAGTCATTTTCAGAGACCATAAATCCCACAGGAGGAGATAGCCCATCTTTCTCCCACAGAGCAGCTGGTGGATTATAACCATGTGCCTTTGGGATTGCAGTGCAACGTCTTAACTCTAGGCCACCAGTGTTCACATTGAGTAGGCATTTCCTCTAAATGCTTCTAGTTGTTATGAGGGAGAAGTTGACTCATTTTGAACATATGTTTTGTCCAAGGGCAACCCAGGTGACCAGCTATGGTATGCTAACATCTCCAGTTGAATCTCCACATATTCCTTTCCCTCTTCCCCTCTAGGGAGAACATAAGAATACCCCCTCTCTCACCTAGGACAGACATTTCCTCTTATATCATTACTGCTCAGTCCCTGGGTGGTTAAAATTCACTCAGGGGGACCGTGAGTGGAAGAACGGCTTGGTGACCTGCTTCTGAAGACCAGACCCTTGAAAACTCTTATGGAGTCCAGTTCTATTCTACAACACATAAGGTTGTCATGAACTGGAACCTTTTTTGTACTTGTTTGTTTTTGTTTTACCTGATTCTCCCCTTGGAAGCAAAGTGTGTATGTTGTTTCTGTGTTTTCTAATATGTTGCTGTTATATGTCATTGAGTCAGAACTGACTGATAGCCAACCCTTAGGTAGGTTTATAGAGATTACAAATTCCCTGGGAGGAGATTGTCCTTCTTTCTCCCATGGATGTGAACCACCTGTAAGGAGCTGTCAATGCAATTCCTTACCACCAAATTTTCTAATATAGTGCCAATAATAGATTGGGAAGTTTCAGAGAAAAATCAATAATACAGGGAGAGCAGGTAAGCTGGATGGTGTGTGAACAAAAGGCACATCTCTTTTGCTAGTGGTCTGTATCTTAATTTATACCACATTTGTGCCAAACACCACTTTAGGGATTGTTCCATGTCTCTCTCTAGAGAGCCTTAGTGGTGAGATATCTCTGTCCTATGGAACTGATACAGCCATGCCATAAGTTTTACTAAGCATGCGTTGGTAACTGAATATATCAAAGGAATAGGAACAATGTTGAAAAGAAAATTTTCCTATGCAGTGAATTTTATTTTGTTCTGAAGAGTTAAACTCAGTCAATGAATGTGTTCCCAACCTCTTCAGTTACTATGCTAACTGAATTAGGCACTTTGGTGGTGTAGTTATGAATCTAGGTTCTTGAGTTTGTATGCCTGGACTCTAATTAAAGTTTTATCATTTGCTAGCTATGTGGCATTGGACACTCTTGGTGAGTCAAGCTCTTTGTGCAAAATATGGATAATGATAGATCTTGCCTAATGGGATAACTGAAATATTAAGTAAAGCATCCTAAAACCATTTTTGCTTATATCATTACTTATTGTCGATTAATCTTTCCAAATTCAGTTTCCTCATCTGTAAAATTAGAGAAAACTGGTTATTACATTTTTAAGAGTTTTTATAAAATTAAATTTAATAATGAAGTGCAAATAAAATTCTAAGTTAAAATGTTGTATTTCAAGATGATGCTACAGAGTATATCTTTGGGAGAAGGTTTGGTGGTCAGTGCTGAGCCCAGCTTCTAACTCTGCCACTTACCACCTGTCGAAGTCACTTATACAATCTAGTTCGGAGGAAGTTTCCATCTCTTTTCATAAAATAGGAATAATAATAGTACCTATTTTATGTGTGTATTTCAAAAGGATAACTTTAATTTAAAATTCATTGTGTTGAGTTCTAACCAAGCCATACTTGGCCCTTCTTTGGGTTCCCAAGGCTGGAAATCACACAGATAATTGCTCATCTTTCTCCTAAAGAGTCACTGGTGGATTCAAACCTCCAGAGAGGTGTGACCACCGGGTTCCTAGCACAGGTCTCTATGACACTACAAGAACTCCCTAGTAAATGTAATTGACGCATCTAACCATCTTCATACAGTGCCTGATATATAAGTATTCAACAGATATTGTCTAGCTTTATCTTCATTATCATCATTATCTGGCAAGAGTATTAAAAGGATTCAAGATGAAACAGTTTCTAAAACATAACTGTACTCAGCATTTAGAAAATGGAAGTTAGATGACAAGTCAAACAAATCCCAAAACAGCTTACCTCCACTCTGTTAACAGCAAAGGAGTGTCCACAGAAAATAAAATTAAAAGAAAAGAAAAAAAAGTTAGTACATTTTCATCTTATGGCTTAGAGGAGACAATTTCAATATAATAAATCTAATCTCTACATTTCTGAAAAATTCCAATGCTAGGGAATTTCGGCTAGAAAGCTAGGTGTGCATAAGTGAGGCAATTTGAAGAATAAGAAAATGTTGAGTCTTTCTAGAAACTGCAATCTTCTATATCTGATTCTCATTGTCAAGCCTAATTAAGCATGGACATCGTCAGCCCAAACAGTATTACGAAGCAGAACTTCCCTGTTAGCCACCAAACTCAGACTTCCATTAATACTCAGCTGGGATCGCCATGAGTTAGTATCCACTCAAGGACAAACAATGTATTGTATACTGTTTTAGTCACTGTTTAGAGTCGCTCTTGTTGTTGTTGCCAAGTGCTATCAAATTGATCATGATTCACAGTGACCCAATGAATAACTAATTTAAATCTTGCATTAGGGTTGCCACATCCTCACAGTCTCTGATATTGTCATGACTATTGTTATAGTCACTATGTCAATCCATCTTGTTTAAGGTCTCCTCCTCTTGGAGTACTTGAGGGTCGTGGGGGGGGGATGAGGATGGGGGGTACAAATGATTGACATGCTAATTTGTAAGTCCAAGTCCACCCAGAGGCATCTTGGGAAAAAAACTTGGTGACTTACCTACTTATGGTTAAACCAGCCTTTGAAAACCCTACAAAGCACAGTTCAACGGGCACCGTTAGTTAGTCACCATCTTTAAAATCTTAGTGGAACTCCATTTACATTTCATTATGCACTCAAATTATGTACATCTCAAATAATGCAGCAACTTGTGCCCACAGAGGTAAACGCTTAGGATGGTGAGGGGATAATGCTCTACTCTAGTGAGTCATGGGGCTCCCAAAATAGATGTCTGCCCCTCTCAGACCACTCAAGGCATGTGAGTCCTTTGGGAAGGTGTGACCTGGACAGCAGTTCTGAACCACTCTATTACCTTTTTCTGGATTAAGAAGTATAAGACATCACACTCTACCACATGTTTGTTATTGATTTCCTTCCTGTAGTCATATCCCCATTACAAAAGTAAAAGGTATAACATATGCTTTGTCAAAAGTGAATTTGCTTTTTATTACAATTTTCCATAATGCTGGAGGCTAACTCCTTTTGAAGACTTCAGATTAGCTCCATTAAAGTGTTTTCTTTTGGCAGTTTTGAAGATTTTTAAAAAATTGTAATTTTAGTGAACGTTTACAGGATGGGTTTTCATTCATTTGTTGGTGCATCTTTTTCCTCTCTCCCCTTCCCCTAATTCATTGGATTCCTTTAAATAGGAGTTAATCTTCCTGAGATGTAATAATTCTACATTTATAATTTTTTTAATAAAAGCATAGACTTTATTTTCAATACAGTTTAAATGTAGCAAAACAAACTAGATAAAGTATCTTTCTTCTCTTCTTTTCACTGAATGGAATTGGGGCTGACTCATAGCTGATCCTCCAGAAAGTTTCTGAGTCTGTAAACTGCATGGGAGGTAATTGCCTCCGATAGAACTGCTTTGAATTTGAACCAGCAGAGAAATAGGGACTGGGAGTTAGCAGTTCATCCCTATGAACTGGGATTTACATATACTCTGGTGTCCTCTGCATATTGTTTCTCCTACTATTAGTGTTTTTCTTGCCTTTGATATGTTTGTTACTATTTAAAAACTACTATTGACATATTAGTCACTCAAGTCTACAGATAGAATGGATTTGTCTTTCTGTTCTATAAATGGACTCTGATAAATGTTAATTATTCATTTTTAGGTTTATAAGATTTGCTTACAACTAGTTGTTTGTAACCTAGAATGTATGTTTTTAAAAATATTTATGGAGATTTTATTCAGTGAAGTTTAGAAATCAATCTCTACTTTTAAAAGTCATGGAGATTTATCAAGTTTTAGAAGCAAGGGAAAACAGTAAATTATGATATTAATATGTTTGTATTCCGTGGCATTTTCAGACACGTTTTCCAACATTTTATGATGGATTAAAGATTGGAGTTTTCAATTATTTCATCTCACTTAGGTCTATAATCAACACCCAACATAGTCGACTCATAGCTGACCCTTCAGTGGGTTTTCAGAGACTGTAAAGCACTTGAAAGGAGATCGCCCATCTTTCTCCCATGGGGGTGCTGATAGATAAGAACCGACTGATGTACCACGTTGGAGTTAGCAGCACAACTTCCTACTGACTGACCCATCACAGCAATAAATGTACTATATTCAGCCTAGGGAAATGCTGGTATTTTTGTCCTAACCACTTGCAGGATGGATTTTCTTATATTTATTTTGCTTTCTCACCAGTACTTGGCATGCCCTCAAGGAATACGGAAAAGGATTTTAGGAAACATGTAAAAACAGACACATAGCTTGATATTTTTCCCTTGAAATATCCAGAAGAGCATAATCACCCCATGCTTTGTTCTGATAAGTGGACCTTATAATCAATATTGGGTTGCAGCCTTCAAATTAAAACAAGACTGAATCTCAGTAAAAATAAACCAAAGCAAGATGAGTGATTTCTCTAGATTCCTTCATCTTGAAAAAAAAAAAATATGGTTACAAAATGAACTTTTTTGTCTAGGAATTATAAAATGGGACTCAAAGGTGAGCAAAGGGTATTTTAATAACATTATCTTTTTAAGACAATCATAACCATTTCAGACTGAAAGTAATAAGAAATAGCTGAATTGGCCCTCCCACTCCCAATCTCAAACTCAGCTTGGTGTATATCATTTTTTACCACCTCTAGAGTGTGTAAAGGGAAGACTACAGGGAGAAACAGAAATCCCAAATTGTTGGCCGCATACAAGGGTACTTTTTCACTAAGAAGAAAGGAAAGGATTTTGCAATCCATGCCTATTCTAGCCAAAAGAGGGTGCTGGCAATGAGAAAAGGAGATTGGGATTTCAAGCATATCACTATCCAGCCGTCCACGTGCCCATGCCAGGTCTTTGATATTCTTCTTACTGTGTCCATCCAAACAGAGTCATGGGGTAGGGAAGAAAGGTAACTAAGGAGAGACAGCAGGGCAGGCAGAGGATTTGGAGCACCATTTGGAGCAGCAGGGATGTAGGGGTTTCCCATGAGTCAACTGGTTAGCTGTGGAAGGTAGCTAAGCTAAGAGAACTGGCCACCAGGAAAAAGTAAGAAATCACAAAAAGGACAGAGATGTAGTGTTGGAATAATGAGAGGTGAAATGAGTACACGTTCTCCTAAATCAAGAACATGTGTCACATAGAAACCTCTGGGGACTCTCCAAAGAACTTGACTGTCCTAGGAGAAAGCCAGGATTTAGATGCCGGAACACAGTGGTATTAATAACTCATCAGAATGTTAAAAGTCAGGACTCTAGAGCCTGCTGGGCTTAAATACTGACTCTGCCATCACTAGCTGTGTGAGCTTGGCCATCTCGCTGTGTTTTAGTTCTTTGATCTATAAAAATGAGAATCATAAAGGTACTCAGTTGTAAGGTTGTAAGGATTAAACAAAGGCATATGCATGAAGCACTGGTAATGGGAATGGCCTTATCATAGATGGTGTTAGTCAACAACAACAAAACAATCAACAGAGAACATCAAGGTTACTCCTGTTAAAGAAAAGTTGTTTTGTCTCTTTCCCTGTAAAACCTCCTTGTCATCAGCTTGTCAGAGAAACTAGAGAAGAGGAGAAAGGAGGTAGATACAAAATAATAGTTGACTGAGTTCTCTTTGTTCTCCAGGTGTTGATGAGTTCTGTCCTGTCCTAATTCCAGGTGGTTGTGTTGTTGATGACATCCCAAGTGTGTAGAGCAGAGCTGTCTACAAGGTCTGCAATGAAAGAGAGACTGGCAGTGGGGAGAGGCAGGCAGATATGACTTAAATTAGATAGGAGACTATGGGTTTGAAATGAGATTAAATGGTGGGTTTTGATTTAGAGATCACACTGGAAATGATAGTCTGTTTAAGAATTTGTAAGAAGGACAAAGAGACTCATCAAAACAAAATTCTCAATATTGATTTGTTGTTATGTGCCATTGTTATGAGTACCTTGTGACTCATAGTGACCCTGTGCACAATAGCCCTGAACTCTGCTCTATCCTGAGCCAATCTCACTGTCTCTGACATACTTACCCTCATTATCCCAGTTATTGTGTCAATCTATCTTATCCGGCCTTTCTCCTCTTCTCTGTCCCTCCACCTTTCCAAGCATGATATCCCTTCTCGAAAGACTGGCCACTCTTGGCTATATGACCAAAGTATATGAGACAGAGTCTCAAAGTTTTACCTCGCAGGAGCAGCTTGGTTTCACCCTCTCTAGGACAGACCTCTTCGTTCTCTTGGAAGTCCATTGTATGTTCAAAACTCTTCTCCAGCACCACAACGCAAAGGCATCAATTCTGTCATCTTGGTCATTGTCCAGCTTTCTGTTCCACAGCAAGTAATTGCAGAGACCATGGCCTGGACCTGGTGTACCTTAGTCTCTAGACGGACATCCATGCTCTTCAGCACTCTGGAGAGGTCCTTGAGAGCAGATTTACCTAATGCAATTCATCTTTTGATTTCCTGGCTGCTCGTGCCAAGAGTGTTGATTAACCATCCATGACCCCGATCGGCATGAATTAAGTTTAGATTGTACAGTACAATAGCTACACATACAATCTCATATTTGTTACATCTGTGATTCCTATTTAATTCAACCTGTGATTCATTCAGAGCTTCTGTAACCCATGACGAACTTTTTTCTTTTAAACTTTTGATACAAATTAGGGCTTTAGCCAATAAGGAGCTCAAAAAATTCCATCTCTTCTGATGTGGGTCACTTTGTTTAGGAATAGAAGCTTACTTACTTCTAGCACTTAGAAAGGCTAAATTTCTTTGTGATATTTTTCCAATTATATTCAGAAATGAGAACCAGTAAACCCCTGAAAGACCCCAGGAAACATC